GTAATCCCAGCTATTTGGGAGGCTAAAGCAAGAGGATCACTTGAACCCAGGAATTTGTTTGAGTTGCTGTGAACTAAGATGCCACCACACTCTACCAAAGGTGACCAAGTAAGACTGTCTCAAAAAGAAAAAATAATTTTTGTAGCAACAATATTAATAATAGCTGAAGACTGCAGAGAATCTAAAATACTCATTTATCAAATAAATGTGGCATATTCTGGTTTCTCTTCAGATCGTATAAATCTTTTGCCTTTTACTAAAGATTTCTGTGGAGAGGAACAAATAAATGTGGCATATGCATTTAGTGGAAACTATTTAGCAGCAAAGGGAACGAGGTGTACATGCTATATATTCAATTCATACATTGAATTCTATGAATGGAACTTTTTTTGTTTGTTTTTTGAGACAAAGTTTCACTTTGTTGCCCTTGGTGGAGTGCCATGGCATCATACCTCACAGCAACCTCAAACTTGTGGACAAATGATCCTCTTGTCTCAGTTTTTCTTTAAGTAGAGATGGAGTTTCACTCTTGTCCAGGCTAGTGTCAAACTTGTGAGCTCAAGTGAGCCACTGCATCTTTGAATGAAACTAAATCTAAAAGATTGTAATAAGTGAAAGAAGCCAGATGATGTTATATATATCATGTAATTTCATTTATGTGAAATGTCCCCAAAAGGCACATTTCTAGAAACATAAACCAGGTCTGTGATTTGCTAGGGTGAGAGTTGGGAGTTAGGGTTAACTGCAAACAGACATGAATGAACTTTTTGGAGTGAAAAAAATATTCTAAAACTAGATTATGGTGTTGATTGTACAATTCTTTAAATTTATTGAAAGTCCATTAATTATATACTTATAGTGGGTGAAATTCATAGTATGTAAATCCATATCACTTTTTTTTAAACTGTGACCATGGCCAGGTGCAGTGGCTCATGCCTGTAATCCTAGCACTCTGGCCGGAGGATGGAGGGGTGGGCAAGGTGGGTGGATCACCTGATCTCAGGAGTACGAGATTAGCCTGAGTAAGAGTGAGACCCCATTTATACTAAAAGTAGAAAAGTTAGCTGGGCATTGTGGTGGGTGCCTGTAGTCCCAGCTACTTGGGAGACTGAGATAAGAGGATCACTTGAGCCCAAGAGTTTGAGGCTGGGCTCGGCGCCTATAGCTCAACCAGCTAAGGTGCCAGCCACGTACACCTAAGGTGGCGGGTTCGAATCCCCAGCCCGG